CTTGCATCCACCATCTAATCGAGCTGTCGGTATGGGATCTGGCGGATCTGGGTAGAGATACTGCGATTGTCTTGAAAGAGCGTGGTTCTGCTCGGCCGCAGTACTGCCAGGCTGTAGATTCAGGTATGTCCAAGATTCTGCACAAATACTGCCCCATGCAAGATACAAAGTGCCCGTATCTGATCCCAAGACTTGTCGATGACCCTGGCTGGTACTTGAAAGCTAACGACTCGGATATCCAGGAAGGCGGTGTCGACCAAGCGCTCTTCTCCAACATGTTCTCCGATATTCTGTCCCATAGCTGATTCAAATCCGTGGACTCCCATTTGACTGCTGGTTCTGATCTGTCTCGGATAGGTTCGACTCTCTCCTCAATGCGTGCCGCGACAGCGGTGCTCCATAAAACCTGCAGAGTTTCCTGATCGTAGTCGACAAATTCCTTGATCAAAAACTTCCGAGCCCTCTCTGGGAACGGGGTCTGAATGCCCTGGAACGGTTCCGAGTTCTCAGCTTTCTCGTCCTCACCCTCCGGAAAAATCAATTCATCATCCTCCTCCTTTCTCGCCTCCTGAAGACCTGCGTCTGTCGGCACGGCCTTCTTGGACTTGTCCTCCAGCTTCTTCCGACTTCGCTTGCTGTCGGGGTCGGCAACCTGACGCTTCGGCGGCGGTGGCTGGAAGAGGCGAGGGAGGTCAAGCACTCTGCGCATGTTAGATTATGCTGAGAACTTCAGATCGAAAGATATCCCATAGTGGTCTCCACCTTCGGGAACTATGAGCTGCGATGAGACGTATAAATCTCGGAAGTCTTTGGAGGCGATACAATAATCGATCGATCTCTGGCCTGTACCTCGCGTCGACGTGTGAGTGGTGCCTTCTGGAAAGAAAACGCCTGCCGACCATTTATGAATCCAACTGCTCATTTCCTTGGGCGTGGCATTGAAGTCGCCGAAAATCGCCCACTGGCCAGTGTGCCTCGCCAACAGAGCCGAGACCGTGAGCAGTTTCTCGACGTTGATGCCGCTGGAGACTCCCACGGATGCCGCCAAATACACACCCACAACTAGTATAGATGCATGCTTCGTTCTCCACTCCAGAGCAACACCATCGCGAAAGCAGAGCGGACCTGGGGTCCACTTGTCTGTCAAGTCAACGAAACCAATAGTGTCCTCCTTCTTGTCGGCGAGGTGTCGAAAAGTCTGGAAATGATTATGCCTGCGTATGCCCATAACAATGCCGCCTGCCCTGTCTCTGTCACGAGTTCTGTAAGCGGGGGACACCACTCCAGCATACTTGTTCAAAGCCAAAGGAGGGGGAGGAGGAGGAGGAGGAGGAGGAGGAGGAGGAGGAGGAGGAGGAGGGATGATGATGATGATGAGGAGGAGGAGGAGGAGGCGGGGGAGGAGGAGGAGGAGGAGAGGAGGAGGAGGAATTTGGATGATGGAGGACAGGAGTATTGACACGATGGGAATGCGAAGGGGGGAACAGCGGTCACAGAAGGGGGCCGACAGAGCAATCCAGTCTGGAGAGAGGAGGAAGGGGTGGGAGGAGCGGGGAAGGGAGAAGAGGAATATGGGGGAGATCAGGGAGGAGCGAGGAGAGGGAGGAGGAGGACGAGGAGGAGGAGGAGGATGAGGAAAAGGAGGAGGGGGAGAAGGAGGAGGAGGAGGAGGAGGAGGAGGAGGAGGAGGAGGAGGAGAGAGGAAGTGGGGGGAGGAGGAGGACGGGGGAGGACGAGGGTGGAGGAGGAGGAGGAGGAGTGGAGGAGGAGGAGGAGAGGAGGAGGAGGAGGAGGAGGAGGACGTAAAGGGAAGGATGGATGGGGGGGGTGGAAGGGAGGGATGAAGGGTGGGAGGGAGAAGGAGGAGGAGGAGGAGGAGGAGGAGGAGGAGTAAGCTCCTACATGTATTCATTTTTGTTGAAGGATATGCCCCGTTGGAAGACAACCCTTTTGAACATTTAATATTGCGCCAGAACGCCATCCCAGGGTTTTCAGCGCCGCGAATCACTGTTGTTGTTGTTGCGTCTTGACGATCCTGATTCTTGCCAGAACAACGTGACTATTGCGCCCGGACACTCCGACATCGTGCCTAAACGAAATTGCTGGGGCGCTAACCATGAGAATCCTTGAAGCCATAATGTGCGGCGCCACGGCGAGAATTCTAACCATGAGAATCCTGGAAACTGTTTCTGGCACGCTCACCACGGGACGCTGACAGTGTGCGCGGCGCTAGGGCGAGCGCCACATTTTGCAAGCGGACCGCCCTTCATCCGTAAAGCTTTTGCAAAGTTCAAACTTCGGGGTCACAAGTGGTGAGGAAGTCTCCGGCGAAGCGCCCGGCCCGCCCTTTCGATTGGCCTCGGGGTGCGACAGGGAGGTTCGCACAATTACCCTGGCGACGTACCCAACCCCTGCGCAAAAGCGGGGCGCAAATAGTTTAGGATACTTTATAAGGGGGCGATGACGGAGCGAGGGTTACATATGTCTGCAGACGGAATTCGGGAGACTCGCAGGACACTGGCTACAGGAAAAGGGCTTGATAAAGCTGATGATTTACAATTCCTGAGCACTCCTAGCCACTTCGAAAACGGGGATCACAGCAGGCCTCGAAAGTGGCGACAGGTTCACAGATCGCAGCCCCGCAGGGACGGCGAGGTCTCATTTGAATCTGCCCGTGGCCCTCACTGTGCTGGGCCCCCCAGCAGGCCTCGAAAATGGCGGCAGTTTCGCAGATCGCAGCCCCCCAGGGATGGCGAGGTCTAATTTGAATCCGCGCGTGGCCCTCACTGTGCTGGGCCCCCCAGCAGGCCTCGAAAGTGGCGACAGTTTCACAGATCGCAGCCCCCCAGGGAGGGCGAGGTCTAATTTGGATCTGCCGCGATTACCCTCTATGCTGGACCCCCCAGCAGGCCTCGAAAGTGGCGACAGTTTCACAGATCGCAGCCCCCCCCCCCAGGGATGGCGAGGTCTAATTTGAATCTGCCGCGATTACCCTCTATGCTGAGCCCCCCAGCAGGCCTCGAAAGTGGCGACAGTTTCACAGATCGCAGCCCCCCAGGAATGGCGAGGTCTAATTTGGATCTGCCGCGATTACCCTCTATGCTGGACCCCCCAGCAGGCCTCGAAACTGGCGACAGTTTCACAGCCCCCCGCAGGCAAGGCAGAAAGAGGCAGGAAAGAGGCGGGAGGCGGGAGGAGGAAGGACGCGACCACACTGCTCTATTCAAAACGAATACCCAACCAAGGAGGGTTGGGAATAAAATGGACTGGAGGAGGAGGAGGGGGAGGAGGAGGCGGAGGAGGAGGAGGAGGGATGATGATGATGATGATGATGATGATGATGGTGATGATGATGATGATGATGATGATGATGATGATGATGATGATGATGATGATGATGATGATGATGATGATGATGATGATGATGAGGAGGAGGAGGAGGAGGAGGAGGAGGAGGAGGAGGAGGGGGAGGAGGGAGCGAGGGGGGGAGAGGGGGATCTCAAACACACGCCTGCTCATGGGGAGCGACCGTGCGGGGAGGTCTCGTCGAGGTGGGGAGGGCTTGGCCCCCTGCTGCCGGGCTTCCCCCTTCTCGGCTTCGTCTGTGGCCAATGTTGGTTCAAGGAGGTCGGAGAGTCGAAGGGGTGAGGCCGTGTCCTGCGCCACCAGCCACAGTCCGTCTTCACCCGCCCGCCCTCAGAGCTTGTTTGCACGGTGCTAGGGGGTGAGAGGTGCGGCCCTCAATATGGGCCGCCTTTTCTGAGTTCCACCCTCTCTCGCGGGCGCCAGCTCGGAATGGTACTTCGGGTGGTTGGGTGGGTCCCACCCGGGGGGATGGCCGGCGCGAGGGCTGGAATTAAGGTCTCCGTACGGTTGCGTATGCAGGCACTGGCACATGTCAAGTAGATGGGTGGGGTTACCCCCGTTCCCACTGACATTGTGGAATGGGATTAATGGAAAGGAAGCGTGTTGACAACTAACTCCTAGGTGTTGAGAAATGTTAAAACTGTATATGTTTACATGTATCAGACGCGTATACAGCATCATATCCATATTCGATATGGATTGCGCATGCCATCAATACTGTTGCTGAGAATGAGCCCTGGCGGCAGGGAAAGGTTCTGCGCGGTGCGATTCGTTGCAAAGGAAGAGGGCCGGCCGCCGCGCCGGGATGCGGGTCACATCTGTTTCACGTGCGGCAGTCCCATGGGGGAGGGGAGTCCTATGGGGGAGTCCTTTGGGCACGCTTGAGGGCGCCGTGGCCCGCATATGGAGCTGGTGGACCCGGACATCGCGGAGCGGCGCCTACATCGGCCAGGCCTGGCCAGCGCTTGGCCGGCCGCGCGCCAGGCGGAACGCGCCCTGGGACTCCCCCGCGCGCGGAGCCCCGGGGGGCGACCCCCTCCGGGCGCTCTCTCGGGGGGGGCCGCGCTTCCACTGGCGTAGCGACTTTGGGTTAGAAAACTTGAAGCTGGCCAGCTTTGGTTACAGCATGGTGTAAGTTGATACATAGCTAAGGTCATCTGAAGAACTAACATGCAACTACCCAACTTGATGTTAGCATAGATGGTTGCATTGTTTACCACTTGTAATTGCAGCTGCCCAAGTTACCCAGGGATGTGACTATCGTAACTGCGAGTTGTAAGTTGCAGGCCAAAGAACTTATCAAAGTTACAAATAACTTGTAAACTACTTGCAACTGTCTGAAATAAGTTAAATTTGGGCTCCTTTGCAACCCTCGAATTGTACATATCGCACATTATCATTCCCCTCTCCCCCCTCCTCCCCCGCGTACCCCCATCCCCCCGACGCCGCGTGGCTGCTGAGGCTTCGGATCGCAGACCGAAGAAAAAGGCGGATTGCGAGGAGGATGAGCGATTCAATCGCTGCAGGATCGCAGACCGAAGAAAGATGCGGAGTGGAGGAGGATGAGCGATTCAATCGCTAATGTTTTTTTGATGAGCGATTCAATCGCTGTCCTGGCAGATGTTGTTTTCCGCTCAGTGCAAAGCAAGAATGTCGCCAGAGGCGAGCTCCGACCAAGCGTGGCACATCTCAACCGATTCGCCGCTCCACCACGCAAGAAGCAATTCGCCGTCCTTCCGCAGGACTGACGCGTTCGGCGTCCGCTTCTCGATCACGACGCACTCGTGCCCAAGAATGAATAGATCGTCCCCCCGTTGGCCCAGAGCTGCGACGCATAGAAAATTGTTCTGCATGCGCACCACGTCGCCTGCCCAAACAAGCAAGCCTTTGAAAGCAGCGCTGGATGAAAGGACGACGTCGCCGCCGACTGCTTCAGCCAGCAGGGGCGACAACTCCGCATCGCCCCCCCTGAGCCCTGGGCGCTCGTCGAAACTTTCGAGCTCCTGCAGGCGCGCCAACAGCACGCGAGAAATTGCAGCTTTCTCGAAGCCTTTCAGTATATCTTGGTTGTCCAGAATCATTTTCGGCAGAAGGTGCGACCTCTCAACAACGAAGCAATCCAACACAACGTCGAATTTCTCCACTTGCTCGGGAATGTGCGTCGCCAAATGAAACTTTGGTTTCCAATTGTCGGCCCCGTATGCTTTTTCATGTGCGTCCGCGTGGCGATCAACTGCAGCTCCGAGGGCCGAGGCATCGATGTCGCCCGCCTTCGCCCGTTGAATTTTGTCAATTACAGCGAAACAATGGCAGAGGGAGGCAACTTCGTCGCGCAGCTCATCGAAATTCGGCAAGATAACAATGCAAGCAAAATGCCGCACCAGCGGGTAAATGCACAACAACTCTGAGGCGCTGCTTCGCCAATGCTCCTTGGATGCGTTCTCCCTGGCCTTGCAGAAAACAACGTGGGCCTCCCGACACTTGCGTCGGTGTTGCTGGGGGAAAGACCAGTCTGCCTGGCAGTACCGTTCCAACTTCGGATAGATGTCCCTCAGAGCAGGAATGGCTTGGCATGCCGACATGAAGCAAAACATTTCCTGGGACGCAACACCATTGCACAAATATACATGCATCCAATCAAAATGGAGCGACGAAACAGGGCCGACCTGCCCTCGGAGGTCTGCGTCCGCCAACAACCCATCAGGATTAAAATTGATGCCGTGTGCTTTCTCGTGGCGCACAAATGCGGCTTTCGATATTGTCCCTTGTAAGTGCGTCAACTCGTCGTGGGCTCCCCATGCGGCCTCGTCAGAATTACAAATGAATGCGCTGCGGTCCCTGCATGTGATTTCCACCAACCGATTGGGCGCGGCGCCAGCGCCAGCAATGCCTGAGCCTTTCTTGAGCACGTTGGCGCACTTCAGACACGGTCGGATCCCTGCAGATCCTTTCACGCCGAGGCCCCTGGACAAAGCGACCTCGTCTCCCAAGTGTGCGGCAAATTTCGCGAAGAACATTGTCGGCCCGCCCTGTAGCGGCAAGGCCACGCCATCCACGAGATTGCCGTCCTCAAGAAGCAAGCGACGCAGCAACGACTTGATCGTGCCCGAGAGGCCACCGCGAATTTTCTCCACTTGTGCCGACCTGATCACGCCCAGGGGGAACCAACAGCAATCGTGCCGAAGGGCATGCTTGAATTCTAGAAACGAAATGTAAAATGCAACGAACTTCCTGCGGTTATGCGGTCGCAGCACAGCTCCAGGCGTGACCTCGTCGTGCGCAAGGATCACGTTCCACGGCCTTGCTGGGGTGATAGGCGCGGCCGCGAACATGCGCTTCAGCGCTGGGGACACCTCGACTAACCGTTGAACCAAGCGGGCAGGCCTCAGCGGGATGCGCCAAGCAGGCGCGCCGCGAACCCCCTGCACCACCCCCTCCCGCCCTGGGGGGGGGGGGGGGAAGGGGGAAGGGGGGAATGGGTGGAGGGGGGGAAGGGGCAGGGGGAGAGGAGAAAACTGGCACCAGAAAAAAATCCAGATGCCGTTGCTGATTTTTTGCGGCCCAAGAAAGACGCGCTGCTTGGTGCGCCCCGCGACGTCCTTGCAATGCGCCACTCAAAGGACCCGCCGTCGCGCAGCGGCAATTCCAGAGAACACGACATCTCTCTATCGTACTCCATCTTCGCGGCGGCCTTGGCCTCATGCGCAGAGACCTCCTCTTCGATGGGCGCTTGCCTCAGTCGGCGGAGGACCTCGCACAAACCAGCGCACGTCACGCCTGGAATGGTCACCAGCCTCCCAAGGCGGCGGCGCTTCTCGAGAACTTGCTTACCCATGATGGCCACGCGGGCGCTGGGGCGCGGGACTCGGGCACTCCTGAGCCCAAGCGCTGAATGTAAAGCAGGTGAAGGGTGCAAGCCGTCGCGCCGAGCGATTCAATCGCTTCCGAGAGAGGGCGCCGCTTCATAGCGAGTGAATCGCTAACGAAATGAGCGATTGAATCGCTAACGAAATCAGCGAGTGAATCGCTAACGAAATGAGCGATTGAATCGCTAACGAAATGAGCGATTGAATCGCTAACGAAATCAGCGAGTGAATCGCTAACGAAATGAGCGATTGAATCGCTAACGAAATGAGCGAGTGAATCGCTAACGGAATGAATGATTTTTTTCTCCGACGCCGCATCTCAGCCCGAGAGATGTCAAGAGGCGGTCACTCGCGCAGCATGCTCGTTGCTGCACTTCCCCTCTCCTCCCGCAGGGGAGCCTCAGTCGTCGAAAGTGCTGAGCGCTGTCTCCGCCTGCGCGCACTTCTTCTCAGCCGCGTCTGCCTTCTCCTTCACCGTCGCAAGCTGAATGGACAGCACGGCGTTCTTGGACAGGGTATCCTGGGCCGCGGCCGCGAGAGCGTCGAGGTCCTTGATGTGCCACGCCAGGGCCTTGCTGTGGTCCTTGTGCAGCTTGCTTGCCTTGGGGTTGTTCAACAACCCTTTTGCCTTGAAAGCGAGCGGGCTCACCTTGGCCAGGATCTTGACGGCGTCGCTCATCATCTTCTTGGTGGCTGAGGTTGGCGCGAGTTGCTCCTTTCCCTTGCCTTTGCCTTTGTTCTTGCCTTGGTGCTGCTGCGGGCTGGCGGTGCGCTCCTTTGCGGCGGTCAGGGACTGGCGGACCTCTTCCTCGACGCTTTTGTCGTCCTTGTAATCAATGTTCACGCAGTAGAGCGTGCCGAGGACATCATCTTGTTTCTTGTCTTTGCACAGCCTCTTAATCCTCTTTGCGGAGTAGCCCTTCTTCTTGTAGACGCTGAGTGGGAGGTATTTCCCCTGCCTGCCTGAGGCGCGGCTCTCGCGGTATACCCTCGTGAACGTTTCCACCGCAATCTTCTCGACCTCTGCCTTCCCGTTCGCCTCCTTGACGTCGTTCCAAAAAGTATCTTTCTCTTCCTGTGAAAGCGACTTGAAGGATTGTGGCGGCCATCCTCCGAAAATCCTGTGGAGCTGAGTGTACCGCGAACTGCACGTTGAGCACTGCCAAACATTCCTTTTCTTGCCTACAATCCTTGCTGCGAGCGGCTCCACGGGCTTCTTGCACTTGGTGCAAACGGGGTTGCGATCGAAGCGCGGCACCGCGTCGATAGCCGTCTGATCAGGGGCAGCGGCGCACGGTGGCTGGACCTCGGCGGGTTCTGTCGGGACCTCCGAGCTCCTCGGCGCGGCCGGTTTCTTGCGTTTCTTTTTGGCGGTCTTGGAGCGCTTCCCCTTGTTCTTCCCCTTCTTCTTTTTCTTGGCCTTCTCGCCGTCCTCGCCGCTGACGCCGTAGTCGGCGCCCTCGGCGCCGTCGTCTCCGCCAGTCCCGGCCTCGTCTGCGTCGGCGCCGTCGCCGTCGGCGTCGGCTGGCCAGCCTTCGGCGCCTTCGGAGGCCCTCCTCTTCTTGCCCCCCTTCTTCTCCTCAACTGCGGGCGCAGCCGCGCCGCCGCGGTCGCCTCCTTCGTCAAGGTGTTCGGGTTCGGGCCCCCACTCCCAGGACCAGTCGTCCTCCTCGGGCGCAAGGCCTGCCACTGCCTTGGCTGCCCTGACCCTGGCCTTCTTGGGAGGGCGCTTGGCCTTGCCTGCGCGGCTGGCGCCGTGAGCGGCCACTTCGGCGGCATCCTCTGGGGCCGTCCCTAGCTCTTCGGCAAGTGTCACTGGCTCTCCCTCGGGGGTTTCCTCTGGCTCCTCGGGGGGTTCCTGTTTGACGTCGTCTAGCTGCCCCGCGCGGGCCGCCGAAGCCACGACGGAGAACTCGAACAGCGAGCGCTGCTTCTTGACCTCCACGTGCTTGGGCGGGGCGGAGACGCGCGGCGGGGCGGCAGCCGACATCTGCTGCAGCAGGCGCGCCGCAGGCTCGTCCATACCTCGGTTGCGCGAGCGCTCCCGAGCGACCCGAGAGCAGGAAGCGCTGCTTTGAGCCCAGAGTGGCTGCAGCAAGGCGCAGTGGGGTCGTGAGCTCGGGAGCGCGTCTGAGCGAGTGAATCGCTTGTCTGAGCGAGTGAATCGCTTGTCTGAGCGAGTGTATCGCTAGTCTGAGCGAGTGAATCGCTTGTCTGAGCGAGTGTATCGCTAACCTCAGCAAGCGAAACAAGGTCTCAGCGATCCTCGCTCTCTCGCCCCCCCCGCCCCCATCCAAACAGAAAAGCGCAAACCACGGATGGCGACGTCACGTTGGACCACCGTTGGACCACCCACGTTGGACCCCCGTTGGACCACCGTTGGACCACGGTGGTCCAACGCGTTGGACCCCTGTTGGACCACCGTTGGACCACCGTTGGACCACCGTTGGACCACGTTGGACCACCTTCTGTTGGACCACCCACGTTGGACCACCGTTGGACCACCGTTGGACCACCAATCGCCGTAGGGCTTGGAGGGTGGGTGGGCATGCGGTATCCGAAACCACACCAGAAACGAGCGTCAAAATTGTAACGAATATTGACGCTCCCTCTCGGGCCTTGTCCTTTTCTCTCTGATCTGTCCTTCTCGGTTTTTCTCCTCCTTCTCCTCCTCCTACTCTTCTTCATCCTCATCCTCTCTCAACCCTCCTCTTTACTTTCTCCTCCCCCCCCCTCCTCCTCTCCCCTCTCATCTTGGCGGGTCGCGCATGGGCGGGCTGAAGAGGAGCCAGCGATTCGATCGCTCAAATGGGGTTTCGAGGAAGAGCCAGCGATTCGATCGCTCAAGTTGGGTCACGAGGGTGCTATTATTTGTTCAAAGAATCGGCGGGCTCCCGAGACAGGCCGAGCGCAGGGCAGCAGGCCGCGTCTTGGAGTGGCTCAGCCCACGTGGCGCATGCAGATGCTCTCGAGCGTCTTCTTGGCGCCCGAGATCGCAGCAGCGCTGTCCTCGAACGCCTTCGCTGCGCTGCGTGCGATGGTCGCGGCGCGCTCCGTCGCAGTCAGAGACCTGTCAAGGCAATCCATGACCTGCTGCAGCTCGCCCTTGCGCACCGTGATGTCCCGCGTCACCACTGTCTTCGACTTGTACTGGCCGACTGGCCCTGAAGACCGCTGTTGAGAGGCCCGCCCTGGCTGCGGTTCCACGGATGGCGCGGGGCGCTTCTTGCTCTTCTGCGTGCCCAGCTCGTAGACAATGAACGCGTCATTGTCTGCCTCCTGCAGCGCCGCCTCCCACTCGAGGGCGTTGTCCTCGTTGTGGTAGGTAGAACACCACAAGTGGTTCGCCACCTTTTCCTTCACGATGTCCCTGTCAGGGTCCGAGAAGATGCACGAGCCAGCTTTCTTGCAATCGCCGCGAGGGCAAAAGCCGCGCCACAGCCATTCACTCCCGCTGGAACTCGCGGCCTCCGACGGCCCATCCATCGCTGCCCGCCGAGCGCGCCTTGGCCCTTGGCCGCTGAGAAAGAAAACCGTTCTAAACAGATTGAGCCCAGACGAATGCAGATGACTACTCGCGCGGCCCGCCCCATGGAGCGAATGCAATCGCTGAGAGGAAATGCAACGGGCAGGGGTGCAAGGATGCCGACGCATCGAATGGGGGCTGAGCGAGGAGGTCGAGCAAGCCGAGGCGACCGAAGGGGGGAGAGAACGGCCCGCCGCATCTGGGGCACTTCTTTGCGCCAGTAACTTCCCACGAGGGGCTCGCCAAATCTGGGGGCCTTCATTGCGTCAATAACATCCCACGAAGGGACCGCCAAATCTGGGACCCATTTTTGGCGTCAGTAAATTCCTAAAGGGCCCGCCCAAAAACTGAGACCAGAGATTTTGGCCTGGGTCGCTGCGGAGATTTTGACCTACGAACGGCGCCCGTGGCGTGGATCGCCGCGGAGATTTTGGCCTGGATCGCGGCGGAGGGCGGCGTGGGGATTTTGGCCTGGATCGCGACGAAGAGAGGAGAGATAGACGAGAGAGGTGACCTGCATAGCGATTCAATCGCTTGTGAACTGCATAGCGAGTCAATCGCTGTTTTTTTTTTTTTTTCTCAAATGTCCTCGAGGTCATGAGGGTCCCAGGCGGCCTGCGCCCGCGGCGCCCGCGTGCCTTCGGGGGCGCTGCCCTTGCTGCCCTTGCCGTCCTTGCCGCCCTTGCTGCGCTCGGAGAAGGCGCCGCCCTTGCTCTGCTCCTGGCCTTTGCCGCTCCTGGAAGGCGCCCTTGCCGCCGCCCATGCCCTTGTAGTCCGAAGGCCGCTTCGGCGCGTGGCCTGCTTGCCAGCCCCGGCCGCCGTAGCCGTACTTCTCCTCGAAGAACTCCCTGGACGTGCCACCGCGTTTCTTCCAACGCCGCTCGCCTTCTGACCATCTGTTGCCGCGCCACATCGTCGGCCCCCCCTCGCTTGGAGGAGGCGGGCCGCGCATGGCCCATGGCACGGCGAACTGCTTTGCCATGTCCTCCTCGTCCTTGAGAGCCTGCGGGGTGTTCCACAGGAAGGTCATCCTCGCTTGCTTGCGCCTCGGGTTCTCCGCGTCGCCGTCGCTGTCGGGCTCGCCCTTGCCGCTGGCGCGCCACCCGCCCTTGCAGCCTTTGCCCTTGTCGGCGGCGCTCCGCCCCTCGGACTCTGAGTCTGAGATGGGACTCATGCGGGGCTCTGAGTTTGAGGTTGGATTCATGCGCGATTCGTTGCCAGCGCCCCCGCTCTCCTGGGCCCCATCCTGGAACTGCGCAAAGGGGTCGCCCAAAGACAGCAACGATTGCAGTGACCTCTCCGCGTCGTCGGCCATTGTCGCTGGCGCGGCCGCCGAGGCCTTGAGCCGAGGCCTTGAGCCGAAATGGCAATGCGAAGGCGCGGTCGCAGGGGCGCTCCGCGAGCAAGCGAATGCATCGCTGACACAGGGTTGAGGTGAAGGGA